AGAGGCAAACGGGACCAGACACCGGCCAAGAAAACCTTCCGTTTTGCTTTCACCATGAACCCGGTAAAATAGGATGACGACGCTGCTGACTAATCCTTTTTCTTGTCTTTCAAAGGTCCTCTTGGGATTTTACTCTAAGACCTTCTCATCAAGGACTGCATACTGCTTCTTGATCTCGGCCATCGTCTTCTCCGCGAACGAATCCACCTGATCTTCGTATTTTTCGTAAAACACGGGTACGGTATGTAGCAAAACAAAAGCTGTTGTTTAAGAATAAATAAATAAAAAGAGAAACTGTCAGGAGCCGTAGAAGAGTAGTTTCGCAATAAAAAAGATTCAAGGCAGTGATAGCTAACTTATGTAAAACAAGGTGACGAAGTTGAACCAACTCCCGACCAAAGAGACAACCCACAATCCCGCAATGAACTGATAAGGAACACAGTATTAGTATTTGGTTTATAAGCCCATCAAGGGCCAAACATGCCTTGGGAACTGCACCGTGTCCAACAAACTCTAATTTTAGGTCATAAACCATTAGTTGGACATTGAAAGGCCTAATGATCATCTGCCCTGCTTCTGTGGCCTATAGAGTTCAAAGTGTAACATCCAAAAATCAAAACAAGAGAATTGCTAGTTGTCCACATTTTCCTAAATTCTGTCTACTAACTGAATTCACTAGGAGCTGTAAAACTTGTGGCACTAATTTATTCCCCTACCCTCTAAGCACGGAAGGGAGCTGTGGTGATCCATTATACTCCACATTCAACTGCAACAAAAAAAAATGGCCAGCTCTACTTTGAATGGCCCCGAGGTCATTATAGAGTGACTGGGTTATAAAAAAAAAACAGAAACTGCTCTTTGTCCAGGAATAACGGCCCTGATTAGAAATGTAAGATTCAAAACACTAAGCCTCAGAGATAACCAACTTAAAGCTAGGAACTTCTTTAATTCTCTCCCTGATGCTATCTCCCTCAGGAGAGCCAATCCTCGATTAGCTTCAAATCTCAGTGCAGAAGCCACTTCCAGCACACATTTCTCAGGAAGACGAACTTCTGGGATGTTAGGTGGGGACCTAAGCAAGAGATATGGTAATGTCAGGACAAAAAATGAACAGAAAAATTACATGAGCAAGATGAACATTCAGAATATCAACAATTACTTTGTGATGAATATGGACGCATTTAGGGGTGTGCAATCAGATCGGATTTACCCAGAAACCGGACCGGCCCACCCAAAAACAGATCCAAGAACCGGTTCCCATTTGAACCGGTCTGGGACCCGGTTCCATTTTTTGGGACCGGTTGAAACCGGTCCGGTTCCCGGTTCCAAGTGAAGACCCACCTGGAAACCAAACCAACCGGACCAGTTTTGGAACTACAGGTGAGCGGTTCCCAGTCCAGTTAGGTCCAACCCAAGAATCGGGAACCGCACCGGGAGGACCGGTTCCCAGTTTCTAGGATTGGGGACCGGACTGGCTAGTCTTGGGACCGTGGACCGGTTCCAATGGGACCAATCACTTATTGGTAAGGCAAGAGAGAATTGGGGAAATTACATTAGGCTTTCTATTTTTTTCAAAAATTTTAAAAAGTAAATAAATACATATATGAAAAAATCAGAAAAATATATATTTATCGGTCTAGTCCGGGGCGGTCCGGTTCCCGATTCTAGGGTGGGAACCGGACCGCTCAAAAACCGGTTCCACTTTTAGAAATCGGGAACCAAACCGATATTCCCGAGAACCGGACCCAATCGGTCGGTCCGGTCCGATCCCGATTTGGGCGGTCTATCTTGCTCACCACTATTTGGAACCGGTTTTTAGATAGGGTTAATAAAAAAACCTAGCTCAGCAGCTGCTCCTAGTCACCTCTCTCTCTCTCTCTTTGCCGTTCAATCAACCATCGTCGTCTTCGGACTCTTTCCTCTTCCTCGCATGGTGCCACAGGAACCGGCCCACCATCGTCACCCGTCAATCTCTGTCTTAGACTCTCCCCCTTCCTCGCATACCCGCAGTCTTTGACTCTTCCTCTTCCTTGCACGGCGCCGCAGGAACTCGTCTCCACCGGCCCACGATCGTCGCTCGTCATTCTCTCCGATTCTCTCTTACCTTTTTGTCAAGTGCTATTAGAAATCAGCGGTCATCAAGATTAGATCCATCTTTAATTGAACATTGGGTCGCGTTTGATGGGTCAATTTCTTGATTTGGGATTCTAGGTGTTTGATTTCTTGTGAGTGAGTCTCATCCCTTTAATGGGACTTTGTAGGAGGGGTGTGCAACCGGACCGAAAACAGAGGCTATAAACACTCCATTGAGAAACAACTTGGGACAAGATGGAGAGAGAGATAGAGATCGATCAGATGAGAGATTGAGGGAGAAGAAAAACGGAGGCGTTAAATATTGTAATGCTCTAGGGATCAACCGGTGCAGGGACCGTGGGGGAAAGTGGGTCATTATGCTTATAAAAATGCCAGATGAGAGTGATTTTACAATAGTGATTTTGGGTGGGAGAAACCAGACTTGGTGAGCAACACAAGCCCTCCTATGAGGTCAGTTGTTCTTGTGGATAGTCCAATTAATGGTGGAATTGATGCTTGGATTACTCTAAACCAAGATGAGAGGCTTGCACTTTCTAGCTACTTCTTTTCGTTGTCATTCTATCATGTTCTGCTTATTTTCTGAATTTTGAATACTTCTGAGTTTGCATAAAAATTTGAAAGATGATCTTTCTTTGTTATTGTAACATGTCTTATTATGTCAGCATAAATTTATGATTTGTAAGTTTTCGATATGTATTCTGCAACTCTGATTTTGGGATGAGTAAATAGACTTCATTAATCAGCACTTTTGCATTTGTCTCTAGAGCATGGTTTCTTATTGATTTTTCTTTATGTATGAATTTCAGGTCTTTGTTACAGATTTTGTACCAAGTGGATTGGCTCGCCTGATTTCACTCTTGGAGGAGGAGTTATGCCTACAGCAAAGATTTAATGATCGTTTCACATAATTGAACAGCTTCCTGAATTAACTCGGTCATACTTGCCAATTCAATCCATCCTCTAGCTGTGGGAATGGGACTGATATCGGATCCATGTTTCTTGCAGTAGTTTCAGTTCATTTGTGGTGCAGTTCAATTCAAGTGATTTGATTCTTGTTTAAGGTTATAAAAGTAGCCTCTGCACATTTTAGTATTTTAGGAAACGAAAGAGTAGTTTGCTCCCTCCAAGTCTATGAACCTTTATCTTTTTGAGCATGCTGTAAAATGATTGATATCCTAGGAGCTTATTGATTACATGTGCTTAATGTTTCAATATAGATTAGGAGGATTACGTACTTGTTTCCTCACGTGTTTATGTAAAATCCGAAGCCGTATAGGACATCGGGCGAGTTGCTTCCTACTTGGGGCGTTTATGAAACCCGGAAAAAGAAACAAAAAAAAAAAAGGTTCTCGGGTAGACTCTAGAGTCAGACCGAAAAAATAGGGTAGGTTTCAAAACATGGTCCAGAATAAATATCAGCAGTTGCATTAAAGGAAGCCCATCAATAGAAAATAATTTAGCCATGAAGAGATACGAGATATTTTCAGCTTTTCCCCTTATGGGAGAGGATTACTTAAGAAATTCACTACGGCAGTAGTCTAGGGACCGTAGTCTAAGGATCTGTTTGTTTCAGCTTATGTGCAAATAATCGAAAAATATAATATTAGTCAAATTCCAAATAAATAAAGAAATACTATACGTGAATTTATATATCAACATGTGCATCTTGCTAAAGTTTCAACTGTTTCAAATGTAAAATAATCGAAGTGCGTGCGTCACAAGATTTTTATTAAGTGAAAAGTAGAAAGAAAAAGTTAATCCAAAAAGGCCCTAAGACTTCTAATTTGCATGAATCCAACTTAACTTGGCCAGGGAAGTAAAATGTAACTTTGAGAGATAAGGCCTTCTTCTTTTCGTTCCTTTTTTTTTAATGGGAGAAAGGGTGGGGCATAAAAGGGGTCCGACGATTTTTTCTCTTCATGGATTATATAACCCATATCGGGGAACTACGACATGCATCGATACTTTGTCGAGGCGATCCTTACTCCACCGATAGAGCAAGGGAAACTCTCGAGGAAATACACCTTACTAATGGAAAACACATACTGTTCGAGAGAAAATCGACACCGAGTTAAAAACCAATCAATCACACATCCGAAAGACAATGTCGATCACCTATAACCCAAATGTAATCACTAACCCCGCCCCAATGTAGCATGCCATAATTTGTTGCTGACTAAACAATATTCAACTTTTGAGTGGCATCTATAATTTATTACATGGATTCTGTCATGCCCGTATTCTAACTGCATATGGTCAATCTGCTCAATCGACAAGCCACGAAACAGTAATATATACGAGGAAACACTGCGATCTACAGCCATTTGATCCGCTCACCCCTCCTCAACCATATACTACTGAATAAACAATGTCATACTGCATTCCGCCACCAATCGAGCAGCAGTTATTAAAGCAAACCAAAAACACTCATCTCAGGCCTCAAACATCTCTAGTCTTTTCCACCGCAGGCACAACATCATCCAGATGCAAGAAACGAATCCATCGATGCTTACAAACTCCGACGTCAACAATCTCATCGCACTCATCATTTCCCCATCTAGTTTACCCGACCTAGCCCTTCTAATATCTGCGGTGAAAATTTGACATTCTGACTGTAGCTTAATTATCTTATTATGCTCTAATGCAGCGGATACATGTCTCCGGAGTATGGTTTGAGCGGAGTTTTCTCAGTCAAGTCCGATGTTTATAACTTTGGTGTTGTCTCCGGAGTATGGTTTGTCCGGAGATTGTTAGCGGGAAACATAACACGGGCCCTTATCAGTCCCAAGAAATACCGAGCCTTCTCGCTTAAGTGAATATAGTCCATTTGGTCTCCCTTTCTTTTATTTTATCCATTTCCAGCGGCCCTTTTCTCTGGTACCGAAACTTTAATTGTGCAGGCACGGGAATTATGGAATGAGAATAAAGTGTTGGACTTGATGGATCAAGCGCTGCACGCAACTTACAATAGAGATGAAGTTTTGAAGTGTATAAAAGTGGGGCTTTTATGTGTGCAAGACAACCCGAGTGAATGTCCCACAATGTCAGATGCAGTTTTGATGCTCCATGTCGGATTTGCGACTCTTCCAGTTCCCAAAAGACCGACTTTTACGGTTCAGAGAGGCCCGGCTCTTTCTTTACCGGAGTCGAGCAAGCGGCCATGGCTCGTTCCTGGCGAAACCGTTGATATTTCATGTCTTGAATCCCAAGAATCTCAAGTCCGTCTGCCTTTCGTCTCCTTCCCGAGTAAGCCCTCCGTTAGAGCTCTAGTTTGGCATTCGATGATCAATGTCCGCTGTGTTAAATGTGATTCTCGATCGATTTCATTGTTTCGTATTTGAGAATCGACTGATCACTTCAGAGGTTAGGGATGCATGCAGTTCTTCAGCGTCAAATCATGGGAAGGCAATTCGGTCGTGTGTGGGGCACTGTAATATGCCGTTCGATATCTGAAATGGCCCTTTCATTCTATGGGAAGTATGGCGATTTCCGACTGCAGATGAACGTTGGATGCAACCATTACGTTAGCCTTTCGGAGTTCACGTACCTTAATCGAGGAAAAAGAAAGTTGTCTGCAATCAAGATAGAAACTGCAGATGAACATCGCTCGCTCACCTCTGCGGACTCAACACTCCCTCTTGCTTGCTCCGAAGAGCCCCCCCGGTCGCAGCAGCTGTGACGGCGGCGGAGACGGAGGGTTAACTGCAATTTGTCAGAGGAGAACAGTCAAACGAATGCTTGATGGCTAAAGCTTTTCGCAATTAAGATGTGGAATCAAGAGTCCAGGAAGATCCAGTGTTACCCATGGTCCCGACGAGTATATGACCCCGTGCTCGACTCCGGTAAAGAAAGAGCCGGGCCTCTCCGAACTGTAAAAGTCGGTCATTTGGGAATCGCAAGAGTCGCAAATCCGCCATGGAGCATCAAAACTGTATCTGACATTGTGGGACAATCACTCGGGTCGTCTTGCACACATAAAAGCCCACTTTTATACACTTCAAAACTTCATCTATATTGTAAGTTGTGTGCAGCGCTTGATCCATCAAGTCCGACGCTTTATTGTCATTCCATAATTCCCGTGCCTGCACAATTGAAGTTTCAGTACCAGATAAAAGGGCCGCTGGAAATGGATAAAATAAAAGAAAGGGAGACCAAATGGACTATACTCACATAAGCGAGAAGGCTCGATATTTCTTGGGACTGATAAGGGCCCGTGTTACATTTCCCGCTAACAATCTCCATTACAACAACACCAAAGCTATAAACATCGGACTTGACCGAGAAAACTCCGCTCAAACCATACTCCGGAGACATGTATCCGCTACATTAGAGCATAACAACATAATTAAGCTACAGTCAAAATGTCAAATTTTCCTCACAAATATTAGAAGGTGATAATGTGGTCACTGCCTTGCATACAGTCCAACAAATTCTTTATTTGGACAAATTCAAAGTAAGGTTTACCCATTTTTGCTGTCGTAGCTAATGGAGAGTAAAGGGGATCGTGACAGTCCTCTTCCGTGCTTAAAGGGTAGGGGAATAAATTAGTGCCACAAGTTCCACAATTCCTGCTTATAGATCCTGTGATACCAAACACTGTACAAATATCAGCATCAATGCATATGCACATTCATTGAACTCTAATCGTACATAATATTTGTAGCTAAAAATTGGGATAGCATCATTTGTTTGCCATACGCAGGTGGACTGGAAGATATGGTTTGGATATTCTTGCAATCAAGATAACATGTAATGCACGAGATATGAGCAGAGTTTCTAAACTCAATCAAATAAGGCAAACCAGAAGTCACCAAATAGAATGAAAACAATGAAGTCACAGCACAAGTCTAAAGGTCACAAACGCAAATGATCTCGGGAAGGAAAAAAGGTCAAGCCTAAAAGGAAATTAACCTGTGTCTGAAAGCCGCACTCGGACATAGAGGTCGTGACCATCTTGGGCAACTATTTCCTGCTCCATTTCATCTTGGCCTTCGCGTCTCTGCTGCGCTTCTGTTCTCGCTCGTAGAGGGCTCTCTGTGTGTGGAGAGAGAGAAAAGAGGTGGACAGAAAGAAGCAGGGGCGTGCGGAAGGGAATTGTAGTAATGCACGACGACCAACAAATTTTCATATACGATGAAGCAAGATCTCTGCTTTTTGAAGGTAGAATAGATCCTGCAGTTTTTCCATGATGCACAACGAGCTCCACCTGCAAATATTTATAGCCTCTTCTTTTCTTTTTTTTTGGTTGGAATTTATAGTCTCTTCTTACTTAGTAGTGATTGTGACGTTTACCAAACAAATCAAATTATAGTAATGTATTTACTATGGACATGTGATGTTTACAGATCCTATAACGGGAAATCACAGAAGAGAACCCAACTTTTGTATTTATCGAGAGTGCGGAAGGGAATTGTAGTAATGCACAATGAGCGTTACCTACTAATTTTCATGACCCCACGATGATGCAGGATCTCTGCTTTTTGAAGGCAGGATAGATCCTGTAGATTTTCCATGATGCACAACGAGCTCCACCTACAAATATGTATAGCCTCTTTACTCAGTAGTGATTGTGACATTTACCAAACCAATCAAATTGTAGTAATGCATTTACTACGGACATGTGATGTTTGCAGACCCTATAACGGGAAATCACGGAAGAGAGCGAAACTTTTGTTATCTATCGACCTACTTTTGTTAGAGTACCTTCTGTATGAGTTTCGTTTGTATGGTCACATCACATGCTGTAGCCATAGCTAAGATGGAAATTTGGCGAGCATATCTACCAGAAAAGATTGCGCTCGTGATCAAGAACCATGTCACAAGTCTATAACAAGAATTCTCCATTGGGTAGAGAAAGTTGGGTAGGTTGCAAATCAGCTGTTCATTAACGAAGGATTCAAGACTAGACGGTTGTCGTCCACAAGCCAGTGACGAATGCTCAGGTCTCATTGAGTACTAAATATAGATACCCCATTGTAGCTTTTGCTTTTCTTGAGTCTTCTCATCTTTGTATTTTTCATCTTATTTTTTTGGTTTTCTTCTTTTTTATCTGATTATTTTTTCGGTTCCCCGATTAGATAAACCGTGCGGGTTGGGAACAAGAAAACATGGGATGAGTTGGGTCCCGTGGGGGCATTGACAAAATGCAATTTGTACTCTCCATCTCATCTTAATTGAAAATATTTTATTGCGAAATGTGTCGCAATAAAAAAAATTTATGTAAAAAATGATAAGATTGTAAACACGACAATTTAAAAAAAGTGAATAGGAAAATAATCAATTCATAAATCTTCCAGAGGCCAGATAGCATTTTTACTTTTCAAATCATCTTCATAACATATATATATATATATATATACACACGCTTTTGATAAATGGCAAAATAGTGGAATTCGGTTCGGTAAAAAGTAAAAGTAATAGGTTGACAAAAAAAAAGTTATAAACATTGAAAATTCATCCACTATGCCACATGACCCATTCACTGTTCACAATATATTCATCTATGGAACATGTACGCTATTTCCTGGGGTCGTCATGACTCCATTTGCTGTATTCCAATCTATTATTTAAGAAACTTTGACCTATCTCTCCAACAAATATCCTCATAAGACATTGACAAGAATGCCCGCGAGCAAGCGTGCAAAGAAGATATAAAAGCAGTCTGATTTAGAACATGTCCACATATATAACTAGTCAGTGCATGTTAAGATGTAGCACTATCCAATATATAAGATTCACAGAGGCAAACAGGACCAGACGCGGGCCAAGAAAACCTTCCGTTTTGCTTTCACCATGAACCCGGTAAAATAAGGATGACGACGCTGCTGACTAATCCTTTTTCTTGTCTTTCAAAGGTCCTCTTGGGATTTTACTCAAGACCTTCTCATCAAGGACTGCATACTGCTTCTTGATCTCGGCCATCACCTTCTCCGCGAACGAATCCACCTGATCTTCGTATTTTTCATAAAACACCGGTATGGTATGTAACAAAACAAAAGCTGTTGTTCAAGAATAAATAAATAAAAAGAATAAACCGTCAGGAGCCGTAGAAGAGTAGTTTCGCAATGAAAAAGTTTTGAGGCAGTGATAGCTTACTTATGTATATCAAGGTGACGAAGTTGAACCAACTCCCGACCATAGAGACAACCCACAATCCCGCAATGAACTGATAAGGAACACAGTATTAGTATTTGGTTTATAAGCCCATCAAGGGCCAAACACGTCTTGGGAACTGCAACGTGTCCAGCAAACTCTAATTTTAAGTCATAAACCATTAGTTGGACATTGAAAGGCCTAATGATCACCTGCCCTGCTTCTGTGGCCTTTAGAATTCAAAGTGTAACATCCAAAAATCAAAACAAGAGAATTGCTAGTTGTACACAGTTTCCTAAATTCTGTCTACTAACTGAGTTCACGAGATAAAATAAGCCAACCACTTTGTGAATGGATCCCACTTATCTACAAATCCAATGTGATCTTTGCCACCTTACTTTTAAACATGTTGTTCTTTTTCAGTACCCTATCACTGTTCAAAGAAACAAACAGATGTCGTGCCCCTGGGTTATCAAAAAAAAAAAAAAAGGCGAACAAACAGAAACTGCTCTTTGTCCAGGAATAACGGCCCTGATTAGAAAAGTAAGATTCAAAACACTAAGCCTCAGAGATAACCAACTTACAGCTAGTAACTTCTTTAATTCTCTCCCTGATGCTATCTCCCTCAGGAGAGCCAATCCTCGATTAGCTTCAAATCTCAGTGCAGAAGCCACTTCCAGCACACATTTCTCAGGAAGATGAACTTCTGGGATGTTAGGTGGGGACCTAAGCAAGAGACATGGTAATGTCAGGACAAAAAATGAACAGAAAAATTACATGAGCAAGATGAACATTCAGAATATCAACAATTACTTTGTGATGAATATGGACGCGTTAGCCCACAGAAAAATAATTGCCAGAGAGAGGATCAAGATATGGCAAACAAGAGTGATCAGATGGTATTCCATCAACTCAAAGAGAATCCATATCGCAGTGGCCACACCCAGGACACCAGCAGAGACTTTCTTGTCCCTCCAAAGGAAAATATCAGCAGCTGCAATAAAGGGAGCCCATTAATGGAAAATAATTTAGCCATGAAGAGAAACGAGATATTTTCAGCTTTTCCCCTTATGGGAGGATAACTTAAGAAATTCACTACGGCAGTGGTCTAAAGGTCTGTTTGTTTCAGCTTATGTGCAAAAAACCGCAAAATATAATATGATTCAAATTTCAAATAAATAAAGAAATATTATATGTGAATTTACATATCAACGTGTGCATTTTGCGAAAGTTTCAAGTTTTTTAAATGTAAAAGAATCAAAGTGTGTGGGTCACAAGATTTTTATTAAGTGAAAAGAAGAAGGTAAAAGTTAATCCAAAAAGACCCTAAAACTTCTAATTTGCATGAATCCAACTTAACTTGGCTTGGGAGGTAAAATGTAACTTTGGGAGATAAGGTCTTCTTCTTTTCGTTCCTTTTTTTTTAATGGGAGAAATGGTGGGGCATAAAAGGGGTCCGGCGATTTATTCTCTTCATGGATTATAAAACCCATATCAGGAAGTACAACATGCATCGACACTTTGTCGTGGCAATCCTTACCGATAGAGCAAGGGAAACACTCGAGGAAATACACCTCACTCATGGAAAACACATACTCTTCGAGAAAAAATCGACACTGAGTTAAAAACCAATCAATCACACATCCAAAAGACAATGTAGATGACCTATAACCCAAATGTAATCACTAACCCCGCCCCGATGTAGCATGCCATAATTTGTTGCTGACTAAACAATATCCAACTTTTGAGTGGCATCTATAATATATCATATGGATACTGTCATGCCCGTATTCTAACTGCATATGGTCAATCTGCTCAAATCGACAAGCCACGAAACAGTAATAAATACGAGGAAACACGGCGATCTGCAGCCATTTGATCCGCTCACCCCTCTTCAACCATATACTACTGAATAAACAATGTCATACTGCATTCCGCCACCGATCGAGCAGCAGTCATCAATGCGAACCAGAAACACTCATCGCCGGCCTCAAGCATCTCTAATCTCTTCCTCCGCAGGCACAACATCGTCGAGATGCAAGAAACGAATCCATCGATGCGTATAAACTCCGACGTCGACAATCTCATCGCACTCATCATTTCCCCATCTAGTTTACCCGACCTAGCCCGCCCCCGCTCACGTCGCAGCCACATTAAACAATTCGAAATACGAGAGAATTCCGAGTCCGCGATTCTAAACAATGCCTTCGCCTGTCTAACTGCACTCATCCATATCCATTGCGAGAGAGAGAGAGAGGGATTACGTTTTCCGCCGCCGAGGACCTTGTGGACGGGCACCTCCCTACCGAAGAGCCTCCAGACCCTCGATTTCACGGAACCGACGGTGGGCGGCTTGTCGTCGTCGGAATCGGAGGAGGAGGAGGAGAACTCGGGGCCGTGGATCTTCTCGGCCACCTTCTCCATCAGCGATGGCTCGGAGTCTCCTGCATGATCCGCCATGGACTTTCCTCAAGAGAGAGACGGCAGAGAGAGAGAGAGAGAGAGAGCGCGCGTGGGTATGTCCGTCCTTCGTGCCCCTCAGCTTCCATTGGCGGGCTTTACAAGGAGAGATAGGGAGGGGGGGAACGGAGGTTCGGCGTCGCGCGTGATGAAATCTGGGCCGTTGGGCCGGGTCCGAACCGGAGGTTCGGGAGGGTAGCGAGGCTCCAGGCTCGGGTGGTTCCGGTAACGGAAACCGAGGGACGGGGGCAGGTGTCTCGAAAGGAGGGGGGCAACGCGAATGGCATGTGCCCCTCGGCCCGTCGCAGAATGACTATTTCCAGGAAACATGGGGAAATTCTATAATGGTAAATAAAAATCCAGATCTAATCTTACATCTATCGTAGCTGAATTAATGCAAATCAAAGGATCATATAGCCATTGAGATTTACGTGAATAAAATTCCTATATATGTCGTCATAATGATATAGTTTCCGAGAATGCTTTACTTTAGTTGTTTAATTGTGGTTGTTGCGATTGCAAAAAGAGAAAGGGGTGATAAAGGTGGAGACCGTTCATGAATTGAGCTGCCGAGCTATAGATTTTAAGGGGATAATTATATAAATAAACTTTGACAAAAGATATAATATGGTCCTTAAACTTTTGATTTGTTCAATATGATCGCTGAACTTTTAGGAAATGTTCAATTAAGTCCCTTACATTAGATATTTTCATATAGTCCATGGACAAAATTAACATATACAAAAAATTCATGAATCACACTGCATATTTGACTAGAATTTAAGAACCATCCGTGTCAATTTTTCTGAATTTAAGTGCAATCTTAGCTTGGCTTTCTTCTATTCCTTGGGGATTAGTGAATATGTGGACAACATCCCAGTACAAGCCCAACCCACATAAACCCAACCCATCTAGTACAAACCCGATCAAAATGTACACTGATATTTAAAGATTTTGAAAAGATTTTCTAAAAAAATGACCAAACCTCCAGTACAACCAGCACGAAGTCGGCCCAACCTCTAGTACAACCAGCTCAAACGAAACACCACCAGCACAAATTCAAACAAAAGTGAAATGTCCCCCAAAAATGATAATCTCAGCGCATAAAAACCTTTCAAAACCGAAGCTGACAAAACCTTGCAAGTTAAACTTCCTCCCATTTGGAAAAAAGTCAAAAACCTATCTCTTTCAATTGGACCACATAGGCACGTTTAGCACAGTTCTCCCCAAACGACCAGCTCATTTCCGAAACTAACCGGGTTATGTCATAGTATGGTGGAAGTATGATACAAAATTCTAAGAGATGCAAAGAAAATCTAGTTGGAGGATTCCAATCCATTGAAGAAAACTCGTAAGATTACAACCATGGGAAGAGAGAAAAAGAACTGACCTGCACAATGTCACAACACAAGCACTGTCATTCCTGGAGCAATAGACAACAGATGCACACCCGATGCATTTCGGGCCATTGAACCATCTGGGTGATCAAATCAAATGGTCGAGATGCATTAAGTGCACATATGCCACGTATGCCGAGTTAGTATCTTCATCAACTGCACGTTGCGTTCTAGAGCGGTTGATATGGGTGGTAAACTAATATCTCAAGGCCGTCTTCAACTTCTGCACATGAATCGGTGTCGCTGCCCTCCATTTCTCTTTAAGTATTCAAGCAATGCCAAAATACTAACCGGAAAAACTGCACCATATTTGAAGGTAAGTGAGATTTGTCTCTTATCAATGAGCAGTCCCGCGATGCTCGTCAAACATTTCCAATCAGAACATTTCAATCTTCAAAGTATCGATTTCATATTACTAGAAGAAAAGCAGCACATCGAAAAACGTTCAAACTTTACTTATTCAAGTGCTTAATAAGCGTCGGGACATCGAAAAGATCACAACACACCATGCATCCACTAAAGTCCGAAGCAACCAATAGTGGGTCAAAAATGCTAAGAGCTAAGTTGCAATTACAATGAAAATTGGTGAATCACAATGACTTGTGCCAAAGCAAGAACTAGCTAGCTCGCAAACATGTCCTGTAAGGCTGTAACTGAGTCATATGAACAATCTTCGGCATTATGGACACAAAGGCATATGATCAAACTGCTAAAACAGTTCTCCTTTGGTAGAAACAGGACAGGCATCACTAACCAATGAGCAGAAATGCGGTTTTGCCTCTTCGGAAAGAAACCGGAGGGCAAGGTTTCATTCCAGCTTCCCTACTTGACAACTCAAACTTGGACGCACCAAGTGATGCGTGAATTATTAGCACAAAGCAGACATGTGAGATTCGGATCCTGTTCAGCAAATCTACGCACAACGATAGGCTCTTGGAAAATTCATCCCGATCATCCAGGCGCACAAACAGAACAATCATCAAATCGGACCATACGAAGATGCGGGTCGTAGCTTTGTGTCTTAAGTACAGAAGAAGAGAGAAAATTTCAGTTACCGGGGTCCAAAGTCCGGCGGCGAGGACGACGATGACCATGGCGGAGAGCCGTGGAAATGGTGCAGGATTGACTGGTGCGGTCTTCAGAACCAAAAATGCCGAGAGTGTCGTTGAAGCGTCGGTGGTGACAGGTGGAACTGGAATATGCTATTTTCCTCATGCTTGTTGATTAGAATAAGAGCACAAATTTCGGAATATGCTCATCTTCAAATCTCCCTTTAAACCGGTGGGCCTGTGGTCCGATGTCCCCGTTGTTCTAGGGGGGGAGTTCGAACCCCACCACCAGTGTGAAATCATCAGGGACCTTTAGACATGGATCATCTATTTTTGCACGACGTAGACTTCGATGACATTATGAACGAATTCATCATGAAAGCATCATAAGATATGCAAGGTAGAATGCTCTTTTCTCAAGTGGAGCATCGCGATCACGATGGAAGATCAGCTTAGTCTAACTTCCGTTAAGCTTCAAAGCATCTAAAGATATCGTACGTCGACGAAAGCATGTTTCTGGGTAAATACTCATTTGTAAAAAGCAAAGCTTCTAATGCTCTCCTACTCTAAGGTGCCAAACGAATGGGCATTTTGGAAGCAGAGGTAAATCTTGACCATAATGAGGCTTTAATTGCGAAAATCAAGCATGCCCAATTTGGAAGAACGGCAAATTTCATCTCTCGGACGTGAAGTTGTATGTCTTTTTGTTTTATGAGGGCGTTTAATTTCTGATTCTCGACTCGACATTGAACTGAAATTCTTCCATGCGATTGATTCTATTGTTTGTCACCGGGTGTAAATCCAAAGCTCGAACTAGATTTTCAGCTCAATTATCAAGAAAGTCCTTTAATTCAGCAACATGGCTGCGTTGCCCCGCACTGCGGAAGTTGTGCCCTTGGCAAAGAGAATGTCCCTTTATATCCTGTACTATCTGTCTCCTCAATAGGGATCCAACATGTTCCGAGAAAGTGAGCCTTCTAATTATCAAAGTTGTGAGCTTTTTCTCGCAAGGACTTACTAATATATGAATTTTAGCTTTCTTTTGTGGCACTTTTTACTGTCCGGCTTGATATATCAAAGGTGACTAGTAACCCCATTGTTTTATTTTAGATAATTCACGAATATGCCTCTGCAGAAATTCAACATCCATTTGGATAGAGCAATAGAGCAAGAAAGAGAGGCTCTGCTCCAGTTTAGATAAAACCTGTTAAGCCCATATAGTTGTTTTTTTTTTCTTGGAAAGGTAACTATTGTTGTAGATGGAAAAGAGTCACTTGTGATGAAGCGTATGATCGTGTAATCGAGCTTTAATTCTTACCCAAACTGTAAGAGGCAAAAGTGGTACTCTTTGTTGTTCCCATAAAAGAGAAGCTACCTATTGCAAGCAATTGGGAACAATACACCTACCCATGAACAATGGGCGAGAAAAAAATGTATGATTTAGAGAGTGGGTTTGAGGGTTCTCAAATCAACCCAGATCAGTTGTAGAGAAGGGCAAAGAGTGACTTTACTTACGTGTATGCATGTGTACAATTTCAAAGGATGTATATTCAGCACATGTGAGGTCCCCATGTCATAATCCAAATCAGGAAGGGGAGACACATTCTTTCTTGCAATTGGAGTTTGTAAGCTGATGACTAGCCATCTAGAAGAGAAAATTGATCATCTACAAATTAGTACAAGTCAACTCACCAATGAGAAGATTGTGGAGAAATCTATCCTATTTTTGCAGTGCCAGGCACGGATCAAGTCGAGTCTTTTGGATTCATGACATTAACCATAAAACGCTATTTCTTCATCTAGACGTGTGCCTCTCTCTCTATAAATATATCATCTCTATAATATATCATCTGTTTCATGCTACGATCTTAACTAAATTACCAATTTCGAAATAATAATCTTAATTGAAGTGATAAAGTCGTTACAAAAGATTGTAATTGGACGAAATTTTTTTTTTTATAGAGCAAGGAAAAGACGCTCTACAAAGCCTCTCAAACCGACATCACTTGCTTTCTTTTTGGAAAGTTGAATCTTGCTGCAGACGGAAAGATATATGGCACGCATTTCAACTACGGAGACGAGTTTGGCAGTCGTATGTTTAAAAAAGGTGGATTGATACAGGGTAAAGTCTTGATTAAAAGAAGGCTTCCCGGTTCATTATTTATGTTTTTAACACCTGCTGCGACTTAAATTGGAAGTGCATTAAGCTGAAGAACCCCTTCAAAATCCCCCGAGTCCAGTTGAGGCTGCTGTTCTGATTGAGGGACATAAATTGGAAGACAGAACGATTGAGGATGGCTGAGTAAATGTATTAAATCCTCTCTCGCACGTTTGCCTACGGCTTGTACATCTCTTTTGGCTACTCTATTCAGGTATATATATACACATGTACATCCCAGTTCAGTATGAGTTTTACTCTCTCCCTTCCCTTTTTCACTCCATACGTACCTTGAACTAACTTCAACAATTCCTAGGCATGTGATTCGACCAAAGCTTCATGGTCAGGGTTTAGGCAAAAGAGGCTTTCATTCTTCCCAGTCAAAAGAGAGGATATGATGCTGTCCGGAGGAAAAAGAAAAAAAGGGTGCTTCGAGGTCGACTTCGACACCCCCGAGGGTCAGGACTTTATGAT